TAAAATAATAGAAATACCACAACAGCGATATAACACGACCGTTGTTTACAACTCATTATTACTGGTGTGGTGGCTTGATCAGCTGTTATTCACCCCAAGTAGTAAAAGAAAGTGTTGAAATACAAATTCTTTATTTAAGACATGGATAAAAAAAAGACATCATTAAGAATGTTAAAATACAATATAAAATTGAAATGGCTTAGAATCCTTCAAAATTTTCCTCTGAACTAGTGGTTCCTTCCGGTGAATCCTAGTCCTTCGACTCGGCTGCGGCTTCATCGTCATCTTCCCACACCACATCATCCTCCTCACCATCCAGAGAATTGGATATGCAACATTTTTTTAATGATTTTACTACTGTTTCTGTTTTTATGGCATTCCAAGAATCTATCACAAATTCGTACAGCAACTCAATTGGCACAGCTCGCATATTTCCTCCTTTTGTGAATGTTTTCTCACCTTCAATCATCCACTTGTTCCACCTATCTCTAACTGTCCTTGAAAGGCTTATTAAGGCATACATCAAGAGGCTGAACAACAGATGTTAATCCACCAGGTATTACTGCAGTGTCTGTGTTATGTTTTTTCAAGCATTTATTCACTGGCTCAGTCAAGTGAGGTCCGGAACATATCCCACTCTAGCAAACTACGCTTCTTCCTCAGTCCACCTGGACTCCTACTCCAAATGTGTTCTAGCCACAGCCTAACTCCTTCTTCGTCCATCCAACCATTCTCATGCACGTGCACATACACCCCCGCTGGGAACTTAACTTTTGGCATTATTTTCTGCTTAAAGATAATCATGGGTTTCAACTTTGTTCCATCTGCCATACAACTCAAAACCACTGTGAAGCGTGCTTTTTCATGTCCAGTCGTCTTCACCAAAATAGTTTTTGAGCCTTTTTCTTCCATCGTTCGATTGCTGATCATATCGAAGTTCATTGGAGTTTTGTCCATATTCCCGATACAGGTTACAGGGAAATTGTGGTTGCGCCGTATTTGAATAATGTACCGTTGAAAACATGTCACTGGGTAACTTCTGTGAGATTTTAGTTTTCTGTCTTGATACTAATCCTTTTCTATTCATAAAACGACTACACCACCCTCTTCTTGCCTTGAAGTCTTTACCGGTGTCTGGATTTGATTTGGCCAGATTCATTGCGTCAATACATATGGCGTTCCCGGTGATGACGTATCCACTCTCTCGGTTCTCATTGACCCACTCGAATAATTTCTCCTCCAGTTCTGGCCACTGTTGTTTACCTCTTCCTTGGGCACATTTTTTTCTGGTGATGTCTATTAACTTTTCTTCAGTCTTCTTCCACTCTCGAACCTGCTTCTCGTTAACGCCGAATTCTCTTGTAGCTGCAGAGTTGTTTGATGCCTTTGCAAATCTTACAACTTTTACCGGGTAACTTGAACGATGCGTCGTATTTCATTCTTTTTGCTGGTGGGGCAATTTTACCAAAAGGTTTAAAGACAACCACCTCATAGATATGGAAAATACCAAGTGGAGAGAATGTGGTAAACAGATGAGGTCAACTATGAAGGTGAATCGGTGCAGTACCGAACGTCAAACCGCTCGTAACGGTAATGCTCATAATGAGTCGAGTTTGGGGGTCAGCTTATACGCACGACATCAGTCTGGAACTGATATTTCAGCTAAATATTCGGGGGTCGGCTTATATGCCGAGAAATACGGTATTCGAAATGAACAATGCAAGTCATTAATAATACGTAGAATATTAAAAAACACATGAGGAGACGAGACGGCATAGTTTTCGTTCATATTTCCAACACCCGTGACGAATGACAATGGTTCTACATTCTACATGAAAAAATGAAGAAATAAGACTCTGGTTGTTGCTGTAGTAAAATTAATGTAAAAAAAATGAAAATGTATGTACAGTATTAAGTAATGTTATTTAATGTTAATAAATGGAACAATAGAAGTAGCTAACCATTAATGGTAAAGAAAAATACGAAATAGATTGGGAACGCCATCGTATGTAAGTGCGTATATGCGAAAACATCGTCATTTCTCTAGTACATAAGAATATGAAAGCAACATTTATTGCTGTTCATATATGTTTTAAATAATACTTACTAATGTAAAAACAAAAATTCTACTCACAAATGGTGGTAAAGTCTAAAACATAAGGACAGCCAATGAATATTGTGCAAATTTTTACTCAGATGATTTCATCAATCAGGTTCAACTCAAGCTGAAGCTTTCCATAAAGATATCATAGCTGTTGCTGAAACTGTTACTGAACCTGAAGTTGTTGCTAATGATGCTGAATTTGATGGTGTAGCTGTAGTTGATGGTTTAGGCCTTTGAATAATAAAGCTGTCGAAAGAACCTTTCACAGCCGCTTTCTTTTCTCATTATACATCTTTATGTACAGGTCTTAAGTGTTTTTCACGTCCCTGTTAATTTTAATGCTTCGTTCTGTTAATGGATCCACTTCAGAAAATAATATTATGTTCATTGCTTGCTCCATATAATATCCACATACCTCTCACCTTTTTTAATATCATTTTAACATCTAGTTTCTCGGCTACGTTTATACATTTTCTTTTAGCTTTTGAACCATCACTTGCTCTCTTGCTCATGTTGAAAAGGGACTCAAAAATGACATAAGAAACCTGAGAAAGTTTTTCTCCTTTTCCTATTCAGATGCATGAAAACAAAGAGACCGTCAAGCTCTGACTCTTGTTTACTGGTGATGCTCATTACCACTCATTAATCCAGCAGCTTCCCTTGCCCGGCAGCTTCTTTGCACAAGGCGCTCTTCCTTTTTTTTTCAGTATTTTTTTTTTTTATACAAATTGGGATTTAGTTATTATTTACTGTATATGAAAATGATTTTTATTTAATTTTTATTATACTTTCATTGTAAATACGAATAAGATAATAACGTGAATTGATGGTCAGAATTTTTACATAAGATGGCAGGTCAATGGGTAAAGAAAACGCTTAAATTCACTGTGGTAATGATATTTTTAAATTAATTGGGCCAAAAAGTGTAAAAAAATAAGGATTAAAGTTGCAAAAAAAGTCATGTGACTGCAACAACCTCTGTGATTGGTTGTGACATCACTGATTGGGGTGAACTTCCCAGCAGGAGGCAGCCAGCTGTAGTTGTCCAACCACGGCTGACTGACTCAGTAAATAAATATTATTATATAATTAATTGTGCTTTATTGTGCAACACAGGAATACTAATCTGAATATATAAATATTACTAAGCATAGAAAATAATACAATGGATATTAGCTGCCCATAAAACAAATTTCACAGTATAAATATTCGAAACAATATTGGTATTATTTTGGTTTTGGTCATCTGGGGAACCTTAAGATTCAAACTATGGGATTAAGTACTTTAAACAATAAGACACATTATCTCTTCGGAATTTCTGTCGCAAAAATTTTTTTTAACACATTAGAAAATACAGATCATAGGTTAGGTTAGGGTATGATGAGTTACAAGGTTAGCTTAATATACATTGGTAAGGGGGGGGAGGTAGTAACTCAAAACTCGTGATTTCCGATTGAATATAGAAGGTCTAAATCGTTCATAACACATCGCAAACCATCAAAAAAAACGTAGTCTGCATGTCTAAGTACAGGGATAACCAAAACTTAAACTTTACCCAATATAGCCTATCTCGAATCTAAACATCAAAATACTATGGTAAAATTTTACCCATTAATAAATATAAATGATGATACAGTAAATCCTTGTTTAACGTTGCCCCCCAATAGCATTGTTTCGTTATAAAGTCACTACTCATTAGTTACCAATAATTGGGTTAACGTCCCGACAACTGAATATAACGTTTTTAGCATCATCACGGACTACTTTTTACGGCGTATTACCCTCTCTCGTCTTGCCGCACTACCTCTCACTCACGGAACGTCGCAGCGTCCCCAAGTGACGCCAGTCTTTGTTAGGCTTCCACAGCGTTCATGCATGTTAAAGTGTTTTTACTCTTAATACTGTACTCTAACAATTTGAAATGGCTTCCAAGCGCCTATCAAGTGCTACTGATGCTAGCGTAGTTTAGAAGCAACGTAAGACCATTACCCTTGCTACGAAAATGGAGGCTTTAAACCGGGAGGAGGAGCCACCCACCGGGTCTCAGTGACTCACCACTCTCCTCCTTTCCCACCCTCCTCCTCCGCTCCAGTACCCACCACACACTCACTCCACCACCTACTCCCATCAGTGAATACAATACAAAATTATATATACAGTGAACCCTCACTTTACGCGGTTAATTCAACCCACGGCGGCCCGCGTAAAGTGAACAACATAACATATGGGATTAATTGAAATAGAGACCGGGCCGACCCCCAAACTCCACTTTTTCAGACACAATACCTACGTTGTAGTAAAAATAACTTCTTAATTTTATGATGGTATGCACACACAATTAATAATTAAGAGAAATATCAATAATATTAGGTTTTTTCACATTTACATTAGTAGAAAAGATGGCTGGGCACACGGGGATGGGGGGTTGGTTCCGAGGCAGAGGGCAGATTATTGGCCCTCACCTGTATCACTTGTATCAATTGTATCACTATCCACCACAGAGGCTTGCAGGACCTCTTTGTCAAACCCCTCAAAGTCCATATAAGTCCATATCCTCACTATCACTATCACTGACTTGGGCCGGCTGTGGTGGGTGGCGGGTGAAGAACTCGGTAATGTTTTGATGACTGGGCGACCTTGTGCGCACCCTGCTCGCGCCGCTCTCCACATAAAAGGGTACACACACCGCGGAAAGTGAGCATTCCGGTTTCGGCAGGGCACCGCGTAAACTTGGAAACGCGTAAAGTGAAACCGCGTAAAGCGGGGGTTTACTGTACTGTATAATATACAGTAATATATCATAAGTTTTCATTAAGGAATTTTTATTGTTATTCACATACGGGAAGGAGTTCTTTTGCAATTACTTAATGTAATATGTTTTTGTTTTGTTTTTCAGGTGGTAAGGTAAAAAAATCTTCAAGAGGAGAATTTAACTTTGAAGCAATATTAAGTAAATTTTGCGGACTCTCTTACTTTGATCAACACCATATTACAAGTACAGTGGCTTCTCAGGTGAGTTAAACAAATAAGTTTCTTTATTATATTAGCTAGTTGCATATAGAGAGCTCTTGAATTAATTTAATTACTGTGCTTGAAGAGGGATAAGGAAATGTATTCTTTATTATTGAATAATTTTTATTTTATTTATGTTATGTGTACAGTACTGTACAGAATCTTGGGGCTTGTAGGTCTAGATCTTCCTCCTCTTGTTGGTTAATAATTGGTGCTGAATGCTGGTGTTATTAAGGTGTTTATATTTAATGTTGTTTATAACCAAAAAAGTAATCTTGAGTGATACATGTTGTGAACCCAGCTAAGTATGTAGGGTTTACTCATATTAACCCCTTGAAATAACCCATGAAAATGTATGAATTTTAACCCCTCAAAAATATTATGCATGTACAGTTCAACCCCTAACATTTTTAATAAAAATTAAATCATAAATACTCAGACTATACTACGGTAAGATGTTGTATTTCGCGAGTAATATAGACTGAAAAAATTGCGCCAAATTCAATTTTGTCAAATGCAAATACATAAACTAATGGAAAAAAATAACAATATAGACTGGCCAGTGGCCACTCTACATCAACCTCTGATTTTCCCATTTATAACCTCCAAATGATACAAATTCTGCCTTTATTGACCTGATTGCTCATCCGGGCAGTCATGAAACTGACTCAAGAGGAGTGTGTGGCTGCTGTCTGTAGTCCCTGACGTCACACGGGGGGGAGTGAGTGCAACTGGCAAGTTGCAGCTCACTTCCTCAATACAGATGTGCACTTCCCACACATACACATCCATGCTATTCATTTTTCTTATTTTAAAGTATATTGTTTACTATAAAACGATAAAATACTGTTCTATTGTATACAGTTGTACCCCACTTAACGCTGTCAATTGAACCCAGAGGGTCCCGCGTTAAGTGAAATCCGCGTTAAGTGAACAACAGAACATATGGGATTAATTCCAATAGAAACCGGCCCGACCCCCAAACTCCACTTTTTGAAGGCACATACCTATGTTGTAGTAAAAATAACATCTTAATTTTATGATGGTACATGCACACAATTAATACTTAAGAGAAATAGAGAAATACAGTCGCCAAGTTAATGTCCATTCAAATAATGGGCTCAACTCCCTCCCCCTCTCACACTACACTGCCGGCTCTTCCCTTTCAGAGAAATTTTTGGGGGAAAACCACTAAATTTTAATAAATAATACCTCAAACTAAAGTTAGGATAATACAATTGACATTGCTGGATTCCTTGTAAGACCAGGAATATTTTGAATATAAATGTCATATATTTTGCACAAAAGATAACATAGTTACCTAGAGAAAAATTTTTATCTAAAATTTGTATGTTTAATGCAAAATATATGATGTTTATATTCAAAATGATCACCAAATTATAAGAATTCCAGCAATGTAAATTATATTCTGACCGGGTAATTTGTATGAATTTTATGAGCTAAAACAAATATCTTCAGTTAATAAAAAAAAAAATAATCTTCACGACACTATCTGTCAATCAAAGTACCCCACCTTGCCTCCCCCCCTCTTCCAACCGCGCGGTCAGTCCCAACCCTCCCCCCCACCCCCCACCAATCCTCCCTTCCAGGGTTTTTAACATTTAGTATTAAATAATACCTCAGATTAAAGTTAGGATAATATAATTGACATTGCTGGATTCCTTGTAAGACCAGGAATATTTTGAATATAAATGTCATATATTTTGCACAAAAGATAACATAGTTAATTTGAGAAAAATTTTTATCTAAAATTTGTATGTCTAATGCAAAATATATGATGTTTATATTCAAAATAATCATCAAATTATAAGAATTCCAGCAATGTAAATTATATTCAGACCGGGTAATTTGTATGAATTTTATGAGCTAAAACAAATATCTTCAGTTAATAAAAAAAAATAATAATTCTTCACGGGGTAACAGATGGTCGGTCGGTCCCTCCCTCCCCCCACCCCCCACCAACCGTCCCAAGGAGATGTGTGGGATAACCACTAAATTTTAATAAATAATACCTCAAACTAAAGTTAGGATAATATAATTGACATTGCTGGATTCCTTGTAAGACCAGGAATATTTTGAATATAAATGTCATATATTTTGCACAAAAGATAACATAGTTACTCTGAGAAAAATTTTTATCTAAAATTTGTATGTCTAATGCAAAATATATGATGTTTATATTCAAAATGATCACCAAATTATAAGAATTCCAGCAATGTAAATTATATTCTGGCCGGGTAATTTGTATGAATTTTATGAGCTAAAACAGGCAGTCAGGCAGGGTGGGGCAAATCTAAAAATAGCGTCTCGAGCCGGACACTCACCGCGTATATGTGGAAAAAATCTGTGTTAAGTGAAAGTTCAGCTCTGGCGAGGCACCGCGTATATGATAAAACGCGTTAAGTGAAACCGCGTTAGGCGGGGTAATACTGTATAGTACATTTTGGCATTATTCGACAATTTCCGAATTTTTTAGTTCGATTATTCGTTGTTGTTTTTTTTTAAGTTCTTGCACCTTATTTGCATCATTCCAAAGAGTGTTCCTCATTATTCCAACCAAAAAACATACTTATGCTGCAACATTCAATATTACAGCGTTCAGCTGGCTGGATTTCGCGAAACTCACGATATTTTACGCCAAATATAAGACTTGGTTATATTAGGAAGTGCTCGCGCAATTCAAAAACGCGAAATGAAATCGCGCGAAATATGAGATCTTACTGTAGAGTACAGGTACACAACTGATTATCTGGGAGCTGATAATCCGGCACCTCCTTTAGTCCGGACAAAATTATGAGGGGGGCACTTAACTTCCCTCCCAGCCTGGGTGAAGGTAGTTTAAGGCTTAAAGTTTTTATCTTATAAAATGTAGCAGACTAGACTTAGCAGAATATAAATTGCATTGCTGGAATCCTTGTAAGATAGTAATTCATTTGAGTATAAAAATCACATAGTTTGCACAAGAGATAGAAATTTTAGTCTAGTGTTGTACATTTGTGTACAGTACAAGTTTTTTAACTCATATTTTCGGGACGATATATGTAACTTTCTTCATTTATTTTAACTATCCTAATTATATATTGTGAAAAGGGTAAAAGAAATAATTGTCCTAAGGGTAAACCTGTACAGGTAATAAGTTAATTACTAAACAATTTTTGTCTAGTGCAAACTATGTGATGTTTATGGTCAAATTAATCAATATCTTAAAAGAATTACAGCAATGCAAATATATACTGCCAATTCAATTCAGTGACATTTTATAAGGGAAAAGCTAAAACTCCTTCTGTTTTGATAACTACCACTTTGTTATCTCCCCTACCTGACAGCTGTCAACACGTCAACCCACCCCCCCTCACAGCCAGGGTGAAGGCAGTTTAGGCTTAAAGTTTTTATCTTGTAAAATGTCGCTGACTAGTCTTGGCAGTATATAATTTGCATTACTGTAATTCTTGTAATACAGTTGTACCCCACTTAACGCGGTCAATAGAACCCAGAGGGTCCCGTGTTAAGTGAAATCCGCGTTAAGTGAACAACAGAACATATGGGATTAATTCCAATAGAAACCGGCCCGACCCCCAAACTCCACTTTTTGAAGGCACATACCTATGTTGTAGTAAAAATAACATCTTAATTTTATGATGGTACATGCACACAATTAATACTTAAGAGAAATAGAGAAATACAGTCGCCAAGTTAATGTCCATTCAAATAATGGACTCAACTCCCTCCCCCTCTCTCACACTACACTGCCGGCTCTTCCCTCTGAGAAATTTTGGGGGAAAACCACTAAATTTTAATAAATAATACCTCAAACTAAAGTTAGGATAATACAATTGACATTGCTGGATTCCTTGTAAGACCAGGAATATTTTGAATATAAATGTCATATATTTTGCACAAAAGATAACATAGTTACCTAGAGAAAATTTTTTATCTAAAATTTGTATGTTTAATGCAAAATATATGATGTTTATATTCAAAATGATCACCAAATTATAAGAATTCCAGCAATGTAAATTATATTCTGACCGGGTAATTTGTATGAATTTTATGAGCTAAAACAAATATCTTCAGTTAATAAAAAAAAAATATTCTTCACGGGGTAACAGATGGTCGGTCGGTCCCTCCCTCCCCCCACCCCCCACCAACCGTCCCAAGGAGATGTGTGGGAAAACCAGAATACTTAACTTTTTTGTAATAAATAATACCTCAAACTAAAGTTAGGATAATATAATTGACATTGCTGGATTCCTTGTAAGACCAGGAATATTTTGAATATAAATGTCATATATTTTGCACAAAAGATAACATAGTTACTCTGAGAAAAATTTTTATCTAAAATTTGTATGTCTAATGCAAAATATATGATGTTTATATTCAAAATGATCACCAAATTATAAGAATTCCAGCAATGTAAATTATATTCTGGCCGGGTAATTTGTATGAATTTTATGAGCTAAAACAAGCAGTCAGGCAGGGTGGCGGGTGGGGCAAATCTAAAAATAGCGTCTCGAGCCGGACACTCACCGCGTATATGTGGAAAAAATCCGTGTTAAGTGAAAGTTCAGCTCTGGCGAGGCACCGCGTATATGATAAAACGCGTTAAGTGAAACCGCGTTAGGCGGGGTAATACTGTATAGTGATTAATTTTAGTATAAATGCATAGTTTAATTTAAGTTTCTAGCAGTCCATGGTGCTTTACAGACACAGGAGGTGTATCATTAGTGGGTCAGAGGTGTATTGTTGATTTATTATAACCTGACCTCGGTTGGTCCGGCAAAACTGATAATCCTTGCCGGATTATCTGTTTTGCCAGACCAACCGAGGAACCAAGGGTGCCGGAATATCGGTGGGGTACCTGTATAATATTTACAAGCTCTCTTCCAGAATTTTAGATATAGTTAGATGTAACTAATTCACATTATTAGATAATTTCCTAGTGTTTTCAAGAGGTTAATCTGGGTTTTGACCCCATAGATTTAGTGGGATGCATAACAAGGGTCACTCAGACTGGTTTTAGTTTTGAAATATGAGTTCTTGGTAAATCCTCTAATTTTCTAGGTTCTGGAGATGTTGTCAGGCTGTGGATCTGGTATGTCAAATTACCTCCCAACTCATGATCACATTGCCTTCTTGATGGACCTCATGGAAGTAGCACTCAATGTTCATGGTCTCATTGAACTCTGTATTCAGGTTTGTAAATATAAGATTTGTTATCAAATTTTGTAATATGATTTAAATGGTCTTATGGAACTGTCATACTTTCTGTTACATTCAAAAAATTTCAATAGACCTTCTGATAGACACCTCAGGGGTGATAATATTTATACAAAAAAATTATAGCCAAATTCAGCCCTGTATACTAATACTGTACTATATGGTAACTTGATTTTCACCTTGAAATCTTACATTGTCCAGATGATCAAAGAGGTTAGTGAAATTGAGGCTCAGCTGGTGGAACGTGGGTGTCTAGCTGGCTGGTATTGTCCCACCCTCCTCCTGCATGTTGTTGGTGTTCTCCGCAAGTATCATTGTTGTCTCTTAGGTAAGTCACTCATGGTCATTAACATGGTTTTTCCCTTATTTTCAAAGTTTATTCACTTATTTCGTTTATTACAACAGTAAGAATAAATGAATGACAACAAATATTTGTGTGAGTTATCTTCCATTATTCTGGAACCATGCATTAAAGTATGAAAAGACTTGAATGAGTGAAAGAAAACCTTATAAATTTTAGATTTTTTTAAATACCGGTACTATACAAAGAACAAGAAGTTAGATTAAGGAGTACAGTAGTACAAATTAAGACTTAGTAATTATTATGATTTAAATAGAATTCATTGTAATAACTATTTGATATTATTGAGCTTGGCATTATTTATAACAAATGTGTGAGGACAAGTGACCTGCAAGATCCATGTTACTGAACATCCTAAGGTGAACCTAACCTGCCTATTATCCAGTTGACCACATGTTTAACAGCAGGATATTGTTTACTGTCCAAGTGATTATTTTCACACTCATAGTGGATATTCTCTATAAAATAGAATGAAAATCTCACTAACACTGGGATACATACAATAAATATCCTGTATTAATTGTTACTTGCACTCAGTTTTTTTCTTAATACAGTAACAGTGAATATATTGGTAAATGTGTCCATTTTGAATATTTGACTACCTTTTTATGTGCAGACATAAAGCACATGTACAATTAGTGTAAATGCAAAATTTCAGTACAGTGTGCTACATATTAGCCTAGTAACAACCACCAATGAAATGCACATACATTGAGACAAGAATTTATTGTACATTTACTTAATGTTTTTAGTTAGTTTTTGCTCTGCCATGCTTTTGCTACCTAATTGTTCTGTATTATACAATAGATTATCATTATCTGCACTTTATAGTGTACAACCAGTGTCACTTGAATATACAGTATATACTGCACATACAATAAACTTCCTCTAATCCAGACTAATTTGGGGGAAGGTCTGTCCGGTTTGGGTTTAATTCCAGGCTGGGTGGGGGTCTGTATTGTCTATATTACAAGGTGGAAAATTCCAGAGGATGGAGGATATCAGACTCAACTCACTTACGCTGCCTAAGAACACCAAACTAATGTAATTTTTAGCCTAGACTGTACTACCTTAGGGTTTTTATATGCCATGTTGTTGTTTTTTCACTTAGGGTTTTAACATTTGTAGAAAAGAGGGTAATTTTTCCTCGGTCTCATACTCTGAGCAGCTTGGTGCTGACTCTCAGTACAAATGCTGAGTCACCCAGCAGCTGGTGGTGCCAGGAGCTCACATACATCTTGCAGCAGTGTGTGCTGTCTTGGTTGTCACACTTGGCTCCATTCAAATCTTGTGCCCCAGAAATACCTCCATTTGTTGGCCCTTATCATATAGATTTTTTGTTTATAAATATATATTTGTTTACATAATTTATTCAGGATTATTTTGGTATAAAAATGGTATTTCTAACTTAATTAGAACTAGTTTTATAGACTCCGGTATAAACATTTCTTATGTTCTTTCACAAAAGAACCGAGTCCCCATCATTATAGCATGTTAAAATATTTTGTTTGAGGGTCTTTTTTTTTAATCTTGTAGAGAATTTATTCAGAATCATTACATTACCAAATTCATTTTTCAAACAATTAGGGCAGCTGCCATGGATAAAAGCTGCAGCCTCATACAGTATAATAGGAGAGTTATTTGAGAATGGTACAAGGTAGAAGAGTGCTTCCTATTGTATATATTATTACTGCACTATAATATGTCTGTTGATGAAGAATGGAAGCACATAGTACATGATGATAATAAATTATTGTACTTATTAATTATTAAGATGATATGAAGCAGTTGAGTCTTGAGGTGTCCATCTTACTTCCCTTTCCTTCTTTTCTATCATATCACCAAACACTGTTACTTTTCTGTGTCTGAAGACCTCTTGTACAATGATTTTTTTAACCCAAAACTTTCTCATTTCTATTTTAACTTGATTTGTCTCTAGTTACAGGAACATATGAACATATAAAAACATATTTATCTAATAGAAGTGAAGAAGTAATGTTCACAGTAGGAAGCATATCCTGATATTTTTGTAAATTATTTTCCCTTTTGGTAAACATATGGGTCTCTGACTTAAAGGCAGGCTCACTAAAGGTTGTTTAAAATCATGGATTCCATGTCCACTGACTTTCCTTTGGTCATGAAATGGGATATTTTACTTCAAAACCACATTATTCATATTTTTCTCAGTGTCCCAGGAACAAACTTCTGCCATCTTTGAAGGTTTGTGTCGTTTAGTAAAGGCTAATCCTTCGGATTGTACATCTCCTGAGCGAGTGGTGTTTGCTTATCTTTATGAACTTTATGCATCGTGCTCCTTCCTGAAGGTAAGTGAACTCTTTATTTTAAATTTAATTCTATAAGACATTCATATTTTTTCCTTTCCATAATTACAACATGCTTCAGTTGGTAACACCCTTGACATCTAACCCATATGACATTGACTCAGTCCTCTGGCTAGGCAGGATTGATGAGGCATTAATCTGCTGTAATGTGTGCTTAGTTATGTGTCATGATGTGTGCTTAGTTACCCACCAGTTGTGTCTTGATGTGTCTCAGTGTTTGTTCATGTGTATATATACACTTTAGTACTGAGATAGATATATGGAGATAGAGTGTAGTGTACGAGCAGTATAGTGCATAACTGTACTTTATATCATTCTTAATCCCTCTTTGGTTGAAAGGAAACCATTAGTACTGCAATGTATTTTTATTAGTGTCATAAAGTTGAAAGATATAGTTGTTAGTGATATTTCAGGGTGATACTTTACATAGATAGAATTTTACCAGAGGACTAAGCAGTAGAACTTCCATAATTTTACCTTCTTAATTCTTAATGTGTCCAAATTCAGCTATTTTCAGAAAATCTTAACCAGAACATTTGTAGAAGTTTATATCCCATAAAATTAATAATCTGCAAGCTCTAAAAAAGATGTATCTTTTTGGCCATCATTGTTTGGACCTTATCTTAGGAAAAATTAAAAGTGCTTCCCAAAAATTAGATTCCAACTTCTTGGCCTGAAGAAATTTGTTTTCATGCTTAGATGCTGGTGGCCCTCATCATTCACTGTGTCCTGTAAAAGCAGTTTAGTCTTATGTAAAACTAGCCAATCAATTTAATCATCACTCCTAAGTGTTGAGCTACTAGAGTCTGTATATTTAACACAAATCTGCAGAGTTAAGGCCATCAAATTTACTCAACCAGGGTGTAGGCCTGAGACATATGATCTGTGTGCCATTACATCTACTTTGGCATTCCTGAAAAAGATGTCAGTGAAATCCTAACTTTAGGAAGAAACCTTGGAATCAGCAAAGGTGCTTGTGAGTTGTTTTAAGAGATTAGATCATCACATCTCCAGGCTGGTGTCAGAAATTTCCAAGGTCAGTTCCATGGAGAGTAATCAAGCTCCCATTGTGGGGTAGATAGTTGAACTAGCACAGAGAGATTTTAGCTATTTCTTACCCCCTGCTCTAGTTGCACAAGTTGCCTGAGCCAGACATAAGATTACACATTGGTGATTAATCCAGAATTCCCAGTTATACTAAAACTGAATTGAATGACTCAAGTTCCTTCTTCCTTGTTGGGGCTGCTGGAGTGAGATGGAAATAAAGGAGGTCATGAAGTGGTGCTTTTGAGCAGAGCATGACAATCTAGGTAACAGTGGTGTTCAACCTTTTTTTGCAAGAATGCCAGACTTAATGTCTAGAAGTACTCAGGGCCACACCACTGTATGAATCAGATTCTTTATAACACTATATAATAAGGTATTAGGAACCAACAAAAAAGGTATAATATTTTGACAAATCTATGTTAAACGTGAAATATTTATAATCAAAAGTGGTATTTCGGATGCAATGGTGGCACACAATTCAGCTCCTTGATTTATGGCGGGAGGCCGTATAGAAATTATCAAGAAAAACACTTTTGCTAGCTACATGGTAAGTTTCAATGTATTCAGCCTTTAATGATAACTACCCCGGTATTGTATTTATCAGGTCTCTTTAAGAAATTTAGAAAAATGGGAATGCATAAATTATTGTTTTATAACATCTAGTCATGTAACTTGGTTCTTGGAGCCTTGGGTTTTCAACCTGTGGATTTTTGTTTTCATGTAAGTTGACTAATCTAGGCTCTGTTACTCTTTCATGAGATGATATTTCAGGATCAGTTCCCTTCCTGTTTTGAGAGAGAGAATCATGAAAAATTTGTTTGAGAATATGGTATATGAGTAGGTTCTCCGTAGTCCTTTTTGTTGGAAAATGACCCAAGGTACTTTTCTATAGATTGATAGCTGGTAAGACATAAATTAATTTACCTTATTTTAAAATCTAGGAATACTGTTATTTTAAACTGATATGTCAGTTAGAACAGTTTATGTATTAGAATTAATATTAATTTACTGTGTTTTCAGTCAAAGCATCATGTCAGTTAGAACAGTTTATGTATTAGAATTAATATTAATTTACTGTGTTTTCAGTCAAAGCATCATGAATTGTTCTCAGTCGTGTACCCGAAGATCAAGCAAGCACTGTATGCCAGCATCAGCCCAGCACAGGGAACATATCGTTGGTCACTTCAGTTTATGGATGAGTACATCAAGAATCCAAAGTAAGTCCTAGAATGATTTTACCTAGATGAAGTGAAGCCATTTGTATAAGTGTTTATGTAGTTTCTTAATTCTAGTCAACAAAGAGTTTTACAAAATCTTAATTGAGAACTATGATAAAAGGAAACTATTATTCATGAAATCGCATGACTATATCCAAATCACATCAGAATTATAGAAGATTTGTTACCTAATACATTTATCGCATTATAAACAAATCATGCTATGAAAGCAAGTGTTATAGGAGAACTTACTGCAGATATGGAGTGGAAATGAAAAGGATGATTCATAGGGTGTTAAGAAAAAGCTGTAATATGTTTCCAAATAAATTAATGCTTGCATTCAGAATATTTATATCTGTTTAGATCTTTTTATTATACTGTAAGTACGTTTTTTTTCCAGATTAAAAGTTGACTCAAGTATTGTGAAGCAGTTGTCTGATCCTGGTAATCGATATAGTTTTGTGTGTAATGCCATCATTGATGCATGTTCACCCAATACTTCAAATGAAAAGTTGAATGACATGGCCGTTCTCTGTGCAGAGCTAACTGCATCATGTACTGCTTTATCTGCAGAGTGGTTAGGTATGTATTGATTGATAATGTTGAAATAGGTTTTTGCATCCTTATATACTGTGACAGAATATTTTTTGTGACTACAGCCTTCATGGATGACTCGCATTATTAACTAGCCTTAATCTATAACGTTAGAGCCCACATAACTCCTTGAAAGAGCAGATAGTTGCAGTAATTAGTGTTTCCTTCCAGCTATAATCAGGGCCCTGAAACGGTCCTTCAAGAAATAGGTGTTGTCATCAACAACAGAATGGCTAAAGAGTCTTGACCTGTCAATGCTTCTGCATAACCCTACTCATGCTTTTGTACAAGATTCAGGAAAGCTGGACTAACCTCTCAGCTGTAACCTGGCAGCAGTTTGGATCAGATGTATCTTTTATCTGCTAAGATATGGGCATCTTTTTTTTTTCAGAGTTTTGCTGTTTGGAAACAAGTAAAGGGACTATATATAGTTTTATAGTGGTCAAATGAGACTCATAATTTTATCCTTCAAGTTTACAGGATGTAGACTGTCAAGGTTGATGGTTGGTCTCAGTTAAACATTTAGCTTAACTCTTATCCTTATTGAAACCCCAGCCTTCATTGTTGGCTATTCTAAATATCCAGCACCAGGCCTTTGTCTTGCAATCTCCTTGCTCAAAGGCCAGCTCTGGACAGCACCATTTCAAAAATAGAATTGTACTTTCAGCTTGAGCTTGAGTGAGCTTAAATGAGAATGTGCAATGTGACACTGAAAGATGGGAAACCTTGTTCAGAGCTAATAGAGTAGGTGAGTATTGAGATTATTGGTGAAGTCTTGCATTGGGAAAAGTTAATTTGGTTTAGTCATGTAGATTAAATTGACGAGACCAATTACGTCAGTAGAAGCATGAGTCAGAATGCGAAGGGGAGAAGAGCAAGGGGCAAACCTTGAATGACATGGGGAGAGGTTGTAAGAAATAACATTAGGTGTTAAGACCCTGAGAAGAAGGACTACAAGAGACACTGCAACAATGAGAGCTGCCATCAGGTAACAGCAGTTAACCCACCAAATTTGGAAAATGGTTGTAAAATGATGATTTTGTGTTTGGTGAAATATTGGAGGTTGGGAAGATATATAATTTTTCCCCATTTTTGAACCCTGGGAACTTAAGGAAGATTTTCCATTAATGCATATTTTTCTTCTGTATCTCAAAATTGTTTCATAATTTTTATACAGTACAGTAGTACCCCGCTTAACGTGGTCAATAAAACCCACAGGTTACCGTGTTAAGTGAAAACCGCGCTAAGTGAACAACAGAACATATGGGATTAATTCCAATAGAAACTGGCCCATCCCCAAACTACACTTTTTCCGACACAATACCTATGTTCTAGTAAAAATAACATCTTAATTTTATGATGGTACATGCACACAATTAATACTTAAGAGAAATAGAGAAATACAGTCGCCAAGTTAATGTCCATTCAAATAATGGACTCAACTCCCTCCCCCTCTTCTCACACTACACTGCTGGCTCTTCCCTCTCTGAGAAATTTTTGGGGAAAACCACTAAATTTTAATAAATAATACCCTCAAACTAAAGTTAGGATAATACATTGACATTGCTGGATTCCTTGTAAGACCAGGAATATTTTGAATATAAATGTCATATATTTTGCACAAAAGATAACATATTTACTCAGAGTAAACATTATATCTAAAATTTGTATGTCTAATGCAAAATCTATGATGTTTATATTCAAAATGATCACCAAATTGTAAGAATTCCAGCAATGTAAATTATATTCTGGCCGGGTAATTTGTATGAATTTTATGAGCTAAAACAAATATCTTCAGTTAATAAAAAAAAAATATTCTTCACGACACTATCTGTCAATCAAAGTACCCCACCTTGCCTCCCCCCTCTTCCAACCGCGCGGTCAGTCCCAACCCTCCCCCCCACCCCCCACCAATCCTCCCTTCAAGAGATGTTGGGTGAAAAACTAAATTTTAACATTTAGTATTAAATAATACCTCAGATTAAAGTTAGGATAATATAATTGACATTGCTGGATTCCTTGTAAGACCAGGAATATTTTGAATATAAATGTCATATATTTTGCACAAAAGATAACATATTTACTCAGAGTAAACATTACATCTAAAATTTGTATGTCTAATGCAAAATCTATGATGTTTATATTCAAAATGATCATCATATTGTAAGAATTCCAGCAATGTAAATTATATTCTGACCGGGTAATTTGTATGAATTTTATGAGCTAAAACAAATATCTTCAGTTAATAAAAAAAAAAAAAATATTCTTCACACGGTAACAGATGGTCGGTCGGTCCCTCCCTCCCCCCCCCACCCCCCACCAACCGTCCCACCAGATGTGTGGGAAAACCAGAATATTTACCTTTTTAGTAATAAATAATACCTCAAACTAAAGTTAGGATAATATAATTGACATTGCTGGATTCCTTGTAAGCCCAGGAATATTTTGAATACAAATGTCATATATTTTGCACAAAAAATAACATATTTACTCAGAGTAAACATTATATCTAAAATTTGTATGTCTAATGCAAAATCTATGATGTTTATATTCAAAATGATCATCATATTGTAAGAATTCCAGCAATGTAAATTATATTCTGGCTGGGTAATTTGTATGAATTTTATGAGCTAAAACAGGCAGTCAGGCAGGGTGGCGGGTGGGGGGTGGGGCGAATCTAAAAATAGCTCTCGAGCCGTCACCGCCTATACGTGGAAAAAACCCGCGTTAAGTGAAAGTTCAGCTCTGGCGAGGCACCGCGTATACGGTAAAACGCGCTAAGTGAAACCGCGTTAAGCGGGGTAATACTGTATTCCATTAATGTGAATTTCCAAAACTTAAGGAACACCTTGTTTTCCACCCTCCTTAGCTGGCTTTGTATAACTTGAGTCACCATCTAAGATTATGGTTATTAGTAGGATTTAATCTTGAAACCTAATTTTATGACCAAGACTAGGGTAGGTGACGCAGTAGCAGCTCCCCATCTCCCTAAAGGTATGCTACGAGGCAGCTGGAACTGATTGGTTTGTTCACCTATTCTGTATTGTGATTGATTTTTTCTTTTTTAATATGCACAAACTCTGATGTGTCATGATTCTAAATATACACTTTCTGTTTTTATTACAGTGTCTTGTTTCTTGTAGGTCCATTTGAGGGCTCTGGTTATTGCTGGAAGATGCTGAGAGGTTATGATAACTTGACCCTAATAGTGTAGGTTGAGGCTGGTTGAAAACATGAGCCACCCTGGACAGTATTGGTCATAAATTGTAACTTCAGGATTCATTTGTCCATTTATGCCTGATGACATTTTCTCCAATCTAGTTACTGAATACAGTTCCTGTAGACTAACTTTTGTAATTTTTTTTTACATAGGGGTACTGAATGCTTTGTGTTGCTCATCAAAAGATAGTCCTGGATATATTGATGTCCTGGGACAAGTTGGACTCCGTGATCCACATTCGACACCAACAATTCACAGCTCCTTGGCTGTGTTTACAGCAGTTCTTATTGCTCGACATTGCTTCACACTTCCTGACTTCCTCAAGTGTGTTGTTCTGCCGTCTCTAATGGAAGCTTGGAATACAGGTAGAATTATAGTTAATTTTTACACTGTAGATAGACTCCATTATTGTCATGAGGCAGTTCACTGTACTTCATTTGAGGGACATTGCATATTTCTTATTGAATTACTTTTGCTAACCTCTTTTGCTTAAAACAGGTGAAGGCAATCCAGATGCAGAGCCTGGTGCCCGTCTGACTTGTCATCTACTACTGCGGATCTTCAAGAGTGTGGATACTCCACAACCAGCACAGTATTCTGCTGGTAAGTTCACTCATTTAATATTTATTTTGGTTAATTTCAAGTTGTATAGGAAAAAATATTTTTATACATATTAACAATAATGTCAAGACCTGCTTGAGGGAGGTATATAATACTTCACTCAAGATACGATATTTTGTTAGTAGGCATCATTTTGTAGTTTTCACCTCTCTCGCTCTTCAAACATGAGAATTCTGCCTTATGACAGCATTTCATATATATATATATACAGTTGTACCCCACTTAACGCGGTCAATTGAACCCAGAGGGTCCCGCGTTAAGTGAAATCCGCGTTAAGTGAACAACAGAACATATGGGATTAATTCCAATAGAAACCGGCCCGACCCCCAAACTCCACTTTTTGAAGGCACATACCTATGTTGTAGTAAAAATAACATCTTAATTTTATGATGGTACATGCACACAATTAATACTTAAGAGAAATAGAGAAATACAGTCGCCAAGTTAATGTCCATTCAAATAATGGACTCAACTCCCTCCCCCTCTCACACTACACTGCCGGCTCTTCCCTCTCAGAGAAATTTTTGGGGGAAAACCACTAAATTTTAATAAATAATACCTCAAACTAAAGTTAGGATAATACAATTGACATTGCTGGATTCCTTGTAAGACCAGGAATATTTTGAATATAAATGTCATATATTTTGCACAAAAGATAACATAGTTACCTAGAGAAAAATTTTTATCTAAAATTTGTATGTTTAATGCAAAATATATGATGTTTATATTCAAAATGATCACCAAATTATAAGAATTCCAGCAATGTAAATTATATTCTGACCGGGTAATTTGTATGAATTTTATGAGCTAAAACAAATATCTTCAGTTAATAAAAAAAAAAATAATCTTCACGACACTATCTGTCAATCAAAGTACCCCACCTTGCCTCCCCCCCTCTTCCAACCGCGCGGTCAGTCCCAACCCTCCCCCCACCCCCCACCAATCCTCCCTTCCAGAGTTTTTAACATTTAGTATTAAATAATACCTCAGATTAAAGTTAGGATAATATAATTGACATTGCTGGATTCCTTGTAAGACCAGGAATATTTTGAATATAAATGTCATATATTTTGCACAAAAGATAACATAGTTAATTTGAGAAAATTTTTTATCTAAACTTTGTATGTCTAATGCAAAATATATGATGTTTATATTCAAAATGATCATCAAATTATAAGAATTCCAGCAATGTAAATTATATTCAGACCGGGTAATTTGTATGAATTTTATGAGCTAAAACAAATATATTCAGTTAATAAAAAAAAATAATAATTCTTCACGGGGTAACAGATGGTCGGTCGGTCCCTCCCTCCCCCCCACCCACCACCAACCGTCCCAAGGAGATGTGTGGGATAACCACTAAATTTTAATAAATAATACCTCAAACTAAAGTTAGGATAATATAATTGACATTGCTGGATTCCTTGTAAGACCAGGAATATTTTGAATATAAATGTCATATATTTTGCACAAAAGATAACATAGTTACTCTGAGAAAAATTTTTATCTAAAATTTGTATGTCTAATGCAAAATATATGATGTTTATATTCAAAATGATCACCAAATTATAAGAATTCCAGCAATGTAAATTATATTCTGGCCGGGTAATTTGTATGAATTTTATGAGCTAAAACAGGCAGTCAGGCAGGGTGGCGGGTGGGGCAAATCTAAAAATAGCGTCTCGAGCCGGACACTCACCGCGTATATGTGGAAAAAATCCGTGTTAAGTGAAAGTTCAGCTCTGGCGAGGCACCGCGTATATGATAAAACAGCGTTAAGTGAAACCGCGTTAGGCGGGGTAATACTGTATATATATATATATATATATATATATATATATATATATATATATATATATATATATATATATATATATATATATGTATGTATGTATGTATGTATGTAGTATGTGTATGTATGTATGTATGTGTATATATATACATATATATATATATATTATATATATACATATTATTAAATACATATATATATACATACATACATACATACATACATACATACATACATACATATATATATATATATATATATATATATATATATATATATATATATATATATATATATATATATATATATATATATATATAGTTATATATATATATATATATATATATATATATATATATACAAAGTTGCACCCCACTTAACGCCAGTCAATTGAACCCAGAGGTCCCGCGTTAAGTGAAAACCGCGTTAAGTGAATAACAGAACATATGGGATTAATTCCAATAGAACCCAGCCCGACCCCCAAACTCCACTTTTTGACGACAAATAACTATGTTGTAGTAAAAATTCTATCTTAACTTTATGGTGGCATGAAAAACAAGTAATATAGAAGAGGTTAGGTTAGGAAAGATAAAGGTTAACATAGGAAAAATAAAGAATAGGTTAAAAAACGAAAAGTTTTAAGGAACACTCACGGTAGTAGAAGAGATGGGTCGGCATACGGGGATGGAGGCTGGTTCCGAGGCAGAGGGCAGATTACTGCCACTCAGGTGAATCACCATTACTAGGTGAATCACCATTACTAGGTGAATCAATATCACTGTCACTTACAGTTGTCATGGCTTCCCTGACAAATCCCTCAAAATCACCTTCACTATCACTATCACTGCCTTGGGCTGGCTGTGGTGGGTTGCGGGCGAAGAACTCGGTTATGCTTTGCTGACGGCTGGCTTTGATGTTGTCGTGATACACCTTGATGTACGGCTCCATAGCCTGCACCAGTCGGTTATGGAAGACGTCATGGCGTTCATCGTCAGTGTCGCGGGAAACGATGGACTTAATTTTTTCTGTTAACTCTATGACACACTTAATATCACTATGACTTAAACTAGGTTCTTCGGAGAATGACGCACCTTCTTCCTCCTCTTCACTGGCGGGTTCTTCTTCCAACATCTCGTCGGCAGTCACTTCAGGATCTCTGATCACCTCCATGATGTCTTCGTTGGTGGTCTCGGAGAAGCCTTCAGCTGTAACAGTCTGCGCAGCTTCTCTGGCAAGGTCCACTGCTACTGCAACAGTCTGAACCTGACCAGTAACAGATTGACTCCTCCTCTCACCTGGTATGCCATGCAACACATGTCTCCATGCGTGACGAATCGTAGCAGTAGACAGCAGATCCCATGCCTCCACCAAGAAGTCTACAGCTTGTTTGACGTTAAACTTCTTCCAAAATTGTTTGACGAGAACTTCTTGAGTCGCCGCCTCTTGTTCCTTGTCCTCGTCGCTTTTACTCTCGCTGTCGGTGTCACCCAGCTTACGCAACTCATCCTTGGTGTTGGTAGAGTCGTTCAGGAGCTTGAATTTCTTTGCCGAGTATGCAGCTTTAACGTTGCAGATTAACTCCTGGTCCATGGGCTGGATTAATGACGTGGTGTTGGGAGGAAGGAAGACCACTTTTACGTTGGGGTGACGATCCATTAGTAGGGGCGAGTGTCCAGGTGCGTTGTCAAGGAGCAACAAAATGTTGAATGGAACATTCTGTTGCTCGCAGAATTTCTGCACGTCAGGAACAAAAAAGTTGTCAAACCAGAAGAGGGACAGAGAAGAGGACATCCACGCCTTACGTGCAGTTAGCCAGTGGACATTAAGCTTGTTCATGTCCATATTCTTGTAGGCGTGCGGCTTGCGGGCTTTGTGAATCACCGATAACTTTGGTTTACAGGTACCGGAGGCATTGGTGGTAAACAGGACGGTGATGCGTTCCTTCTGCATCTTCCGGCCCCTTACCTTGCTCGCAGACTGGACAACGAAGGTCTTGGAAGGTAACTTTTTCCAGAAAAGACCAGATTCGTCCATGTTAAACACCTGGTCGTCAGTGTACTGTCCTTCCTCCATAATCTCACGTAAAAACGGAGGAAAATCTCTAGCCGCCGCACGGTCAGCACTCGCTTCCTCACCACCAATGCTGATGTTGGTGACCTTGTTCCTCCTCTTAAACCTATGCAGCCAACCATGGGAAGCATTGAAGGGTTTGGGCTCTGCAATTCCCATTTTACGTGTCACTGCTGCGTATAGCTCACGTGCGTACTCCTGCACTGAGCGCGTGTCCACCGCCATGTTGCGTCGCGCCTGACGCACCAAATAACTCACCAGCAAAGTTTCCACTTTTGCCAGCACCCTGTTCTGGCAATACCTGATAGCTGAAGCACCTGCAGACTTTGTGAGCTTCATGTGCTCCTTTATCTTGGCTGCATCCTTCTTGATCGTACGAATCGTAGATTCGTTGACGCCATGCTGGCGCGCGAGATCAACTTGGCGTCTTCCTTTCTCCAAATCTTGAACAATTTGGTACTTCAGCTCGTAGCTTAATGAACTTCGTGTCTTCTTTGGTTTAGTGCCGCTGGGTCCAGGTAAGGAAAGGTTTCTCTCTGGGGGTGGTGGTCCGGCGGAAGCCATTTTACGGAACAATGGATGCGCGTTTACACGGTCTGGCGTGGAGGGATGAAACTGGCGCGGCTAGGTCAAGGATCATCTTTCCTCCCTCCCTCCCTCCCTCCCTCCCTCCCTCCCTCCCCCGGGTGGACACGTCATAATACTTTAAGCCAATTACAGCTAGCAGCAGAGGGGGGTAGGGATGCATGGCCAATCACAGTCCGATACGTCATATGACGTCAGTGATAACGCAACAAAGACACACACTGCGCAACCTTACCGCGCGGCTTGCCCAAGCGGAGGGAGGAGGAGGGAGAGGCGAGGAGCACAGGCAGGCAGGCGGGTGGGGCGAATCTAAAAATAGCGTCGCGCCGGACACTCTCCGTGTAATGGGGTTCACGCACCGCGTAATGTGAGCACGTTAGGTTCTGGCAAAGCACCGTGTTAACGTGGAAACGACGAATTTGGGACCGCGTAAAGTGAGGGTTGACTGTATTGTTATTATAATTATTATTACTATTATTATTATTATAATTATTATTACTATTATTACTATTATTATTATTATAATTATTATTACTATTATTATTATTATAATTATTATTACTATTATTATTATTATAGTTATTATTACTATTATTATTATTATAATTATTATTACTATTACATTTTTGCCCCCCAGGCCTAGATGTGGGTCAGTGATCTATGCCCGGGTGGGCTAATCCTTGTTAAAAAAACAAAAAAACTTTTGGTTGTCAGAGCTTTTCGGTTTTCGGAATTTCGGATAAAGGGTTGTCAACCTGTAGTAATAGTTTAGCCATACTTAAAAACAACATTAATGTTTAATAGTTTAAGGGACTGAACTAACAGGACAAATTCATTGCGATATGGTAGAGTAAATATATTCTTAAATGTAGGAACTTGTCTAGTGTGACTACACTGAAAGGATATTTTTAGCCCTTTTAAGACAACGATCAACAAACAATGAAGGGTACCCAAGTTTTTGTGCAATGGACTGAATGTGTTACAGTTCTTCTATGAGAAATAGGATAAAATATTATGTACCAATAAATGTGAGGAATAAATAAAAATAATACCAATAAATAACAGAATACTGTATTGCCATTTGGCAGCTGGATGACTGAATTTGTCAATTGTTTCACTACACACAGGAGCAGCTCAGAACAGCTGAGATCCCTCACTCCCCTCTCCACCACTTAGTGTGAACTCATAACACAAAGAAAGTTGATTCCCTTTTGTTTTTGACCTTATGATATTTTTTTTCTTCATAATTTGTATGTAAGATTGTGTGTGCATGTAACATAGTAAAAAAATAATAATTCATAACTATAGCTATCTGAAATTACAATTTGAAAAAATAACCATAACATGCTGACAGTTTGGATGTGGCTAAAATGATGAGGGTGGTTTTAACTATTACAAATACAAAACTAATATAAAATACTGAAAAACAAGCAAAAAAAAAAGTAAGGAATATCATTACAGATGTAAAGTAACACCTACACGGTAAGCCGAACGGCTGAGGCAAACTCACAATTCCCTGTACCTCCTTTCCCAGTATTCATAAACCATACCACATACTGTACCTCTCTTATGTTATTTAACATTTGTGCTACTTCAAACAACATTTGTACTATTTCAAGAGCTTCTAAGGATCTTAATCCTGTAGATTTAGTCTGGGTCAGTTGTAAAATGAGGTTTCAAGCTCAATCCTTTTATTTTTTAAGGTTCATCTCAGAGTGTAGCCACAGGCATGTCTCAACGCAGCATCCGGCTCAGCTGCGATCGTCACTTGTTGGCTGCAGCCCACACTGCCATTACCCTTAGCCCCCTTCTTGCTGTCCTAAAGGTAGCATTCTGCAGTTTTACTACAGTTTAAGTTTACCCCCTCTTTTTATAGCTTTGTGGAATTTTACTACAAGATTGCACTATATTTCCATATCTGGTTTAAAATATGAGTATGTATTATCATATATCCAGATATTTATATCTCTCATAACTTTTTCTCTTTGATCGACTAGTGTAAGTACTATCCCTGTAACATGCTTAAAAACCAAAGTTGTTGAAGTGCATTAATAATATTATAATGTCAATGATATCATACAGGTGTAATTTAAAGGAGTTTCCATTTATTCATCCTTCTATCCCCACTGAAAAATTACATCAGAATGTTCAAAATATGGAAACATGTTTTAGGTTTAAGTTTTTATTAATTTGTTTATACTGTACTGTACTGTAAAATGTATTCTCTATACCTCTTGCCATTCCTTGTTGGTAACCTTTGCAGGTCTATGCATAAAATATATCTTCCATTGTTTGTGATTATATTATTGCAGGCAATGTTGATTGTTAGTGATGTGTTGAGTGGACAGAGTAAGAGCCAAGCTTCCATATCTGATATACTTGGCACATCTGATATGGGTAGTGGCTCCAATGATTCTGATATGATGGGGTAAGTACACCTGTCTCATTCTTTATGATATACTGTATCTATATAAATGTTTATACAAACACAGCTATACAGTAGCCTCGAGTTATCTCATGACATTTTATTTAATTTTTTTTATTTAACGGCTACCTAAATTACTACCATTTTCCTATACGTGAACTCTTGGTCATCTGGACTATTAGGGGGTAAGGGAGTCCGGAATAGCTAGAAGTCTAGAATATTGAAATTCAGTGCAAATGTATAGAAAAGACTCATTTATTTGACACACTGATTACCAGATGACCCCAGAATGAAAATCAGTACTGTAGAGTTTTAAGTCCCAACTCTAACAACCTTGGGACTTCAGGGTTGCTCTACAGATGCCATAGCTACTTCACTCCTGAGCAGTTGCTTCAAGTTTATAAGGGATTCATTCGTCCTAACTTGGGGCACTGCTCTCATATCTGGGGTGGCTCTTCTTCTGTCCATCTGTTAGATTGGGTGGAATCAAAGGCATTTTGTCTTATTAACTCTCCTCCTTTAGTGTATAATCTTTCTTGCCTTTCTCTTTGCCGCAGTGTTGCTTCACTCTCTCTCTTTTACAGGTACTTTAACGGGCAATGTTCGGTGAATTTGGCATCCTGTGTACCGCCGGCAAGGCCATGGGCTCCTAACACTTGCCTTGCCGGCGACGCCCACCATTTCTTTGTTGATGTTGGTCACACTAGAATAACTGATTATAGTACATCCTTCTTTCCTCACACAGCCAAACTGTGAAATACAATGCCTTCTTCTGTGTTTACATACTCTTCGTGGTGTAGATTAATACCTATACATAACCGATTTTCCGGCACCCTTGGTTCCAAAGCCTTGCCGGATTATCCGTTTTGCCGGACCAACCGAGGTCAGGTAATAATAAATTAACAATACACCTCTGACCCACTAATGATACACCTCCTGTGTCTCTAAAGCACCATGGACTGCTTGAAGCTTAAATTAAACAAATATTAAATGTAAATTAAATATGAAAAAGCCATAATTTTGAGCAACATTACTGTACAGTGGTCCCTTGGTTAACGAGCACAATTCGTTCTAGAAGGTTGCTCATTAACCGAAAAATTCGTTAACCGAAACCATTGTTTCACTGGGTTTTTGGGTAATTAGTTCCAGCTCACCGAAAATTGCCTAAAGTCAACAAAAAGGTAGTAAAGTACACTTACTTTGAGGTGTGTATGTAGAAGGCTCCTGGATGATGATGATGATGATGGGAATTAGAATGGGGGTGGAGGAGAAGGGAGAAGAGAAGGCATTGGGGTAGAGGAGAAGTCACCCCATGGCGCCATTTCACCCATAAAATTTTAGTTCACTTGGTGTAATTCAAGATTATTTTCTTTAAATCATCACTGCACTGCATTATATATTGTCAATATGTAAAATAAATTTCAAAATGACCAATAATTTGACTGGAAACACAGAAAAAATTCATTTATGCTGAAGAGCGTCTGAAGCAAGATGTTACCTCCACTGAAAAGACACAGAGACTGATGCCTGTATGGTGTGTTGACAGGCTGTTTGGCACGCTAAAAACTAGTTTCCCTGTACTTAAATTATGTTAAATAATTGTTAAAATGACTAAAAATTTTAATATAAGACTTTTAAAATTATTGAATAGTACAAACTTCTTGATATTTACTAAAATAGTAAGGAATTTAAGCCCTAGAACCGATTACTGTATTGGCGGATTAATATGACAGCTAGTGTGCAAGCGAAAACATGTGGAGGGGCGCTCGTAAGGAATTCGTTAATCGAGGGTATGCTCGTTAACCAAAGTTAAGAATCTTATGGAAGGTAATTCGTTAACCGAGGCGCTCGTTAACCGAGGGATCACTGTACTGCACTAGACTAAAAATTTTATCTCTTGTGCAAACTATGTGATGTTTATACTCAAATTAATCACAATCTTATAAGAATTCTAGCAATACAATTTATATTCTGCTAAGTCTAGTCAGCTACATTTTATAAAATAAAATCTTTAAGCCTAAAACTACCTTCACCCAGGCTGGGATGGAGGGTAGTTAAGTGCCCCCTCGTAATTTTGTCTGGACTAAAGGAGGTGCCGGACCATCAGTTCCCGGATAATCGGTGGTGTACCTGTATATTCTTTTTCTCTTCTATTTTTAATTTCTTTTTACTCTTTTTTTTTTTTTTTTTTTTTTTTTTTTTGCCTGGCCCCATTGTGAGTCGATGACCTGTGCCCGGGTGAGCTGTAACCCATAAAAAAAAATATATATATATATTACAGAAGACAGAAAAATATCTATTGTAGATGATGACAATGGCAACACTTCATACTATACCTTTACCCCACTGGATGTGAAAGTTCGAATCTCATAACTCGGAAGCTGCATATAGCATAACATTCTTACAAGAAATACTTCAAATTGAATAAAGGGGAAAAAAGTGATATGCTACTACCCTGAGAGAGAGGGAGAGAAATGTATAGAAAGAGAGAGAGATTTTGATCCTTTTCAAGCAAACTAATTATGGGAAAAAAATAAAAATATATGTAGTAAAAGAGAATGATGTTAACACCTGGTCTGTACATTACCCATCGCCCACCAGCAGTGGCGGCTTGTTCATAGGAGCTGCAGTCTCCCCTGTTCACTCACTGCTAGTTGTATGATTCACCTACACATGAAGCTGAATTATACAGATAACCAATATTTTGCAAAGAATTTGTTTGAATGTTATTTTTATTACATACTAACAACATTTTCATTAAAAAAATGACCAAAATTCAAGTGACATTCATAACAACTGCACGTTTCATTCCCATCTGGCACTGCTGCCATCATATGATTAACTTGGAGCTGCTGATTGTGCAGCCCCAGTGACTGATATGTTTGGTGTGGAGTTGGGTCACACACTTTTGGTACTAACTGTGACCTTCACCACAAACCTAGTCCAGTTGTATCAGTTTATTTAACTTTACTGTACCTGAGATCATGGAAAACTTTAATTTCTCTCAATTGACATTAAACAAACAGCCTGAACTCAAACCCAGAGGAAGACCAACACCAAATTTATCTATTCAACAGAGTAAGCCAAATTTATATAATTTTCTGCTGTTGTTATATGAAACTTGTAGTCCCCCTAATATAATTTGCCACAAGCAACCACTTCCCACCGGTGGTAGTCAACTACAGGTTGGACCCCGCTAATCCGGGACCCGATAGTCCGGCATCTTCGGTGGTTCGGGACTCATATAGTGAATACAGGTACTTAATCTGATGGGGTAAATTAGGATATGTTCCACAACTACTAAAAGTCAACAGTAATGCTATGAAAGATTCTGGAAAAATCATTACAATTATCACAACCTGTACTCAAATGTACTAAGCTAAAGGATTAAAAAAAATTATTTCTTGTGCAAATTATGAGAAGTTTATGCTCAAATTAATTGCTGTCTTGCAAGAATTCCAGCAATGCAAGTTGTATTCTGCTAAGTCAAGTCTGTGACATCTTATAAGTGAAAACCTTAAACTCCTTCTATTGTATAATCCTGAGTCCCTGACCCCTTCCCCCTCCTCTGATAACTACACACCCAGTAATCTCCCCTCCTGGCTGTCAGCACCTCACCTCCCCCCTCCTCCCAGCCAGAAGGCAGTAAGGATTTTAAAGGGTGAAGGTGATTTCAGGCTTAAAGTTTTTATCTCATAAAATATTGCTGACTTGACTTAGCAGAATATAACTTGCATTTCTGGAATCCTTGCAAGATAACGATTAATTTGAGTATAAACATAAAAATTTTAGTCCTTTAGCTTAGTACATTGATTATAATAATTTGTTGCTCAAAATTATAGCTTTTTCACAGGGAAAAGTCTATATGTATAAGTAACCCCAGTGGCATTGAATAATACAGAATATTTCAAATAAATTCTTTGTTTAGTTCTGTAGATGTATGCGAATTCCCATATAGTGAATGCGCATAAAGCAAAGGTCCAGTGTACAGTAAACTTCTGCCATAACACAAACACTTTGTCATAAAGAGGTTCAGTAAGCCTGGGCTAGATTTATGCTGATGTAAGTTGTATTGGTACCAGTACTATTGAAGCACATGTTATGCATTATTTTACCTTTTTTTTTTTACCTCGGCTTGGATGGTTTGGAATTTTCGCTAATCCGGAACCAGTCTGGTCCCAAGCTTCCAGGATTAGCAAGGTCCAACCTGTACTGTATAGGTAATTAAGTCTTGTTCACTCATAAGCTCTCTCTGGTCTCACAAACTTCCTTACATAAAACATATACAGTACAGTATTATTGAGAATCGTAAGAAAAATGAGAAGGCGAGAGAAGTATAAGAAAAAGTAATAAGAGGAAGGAGTAAGAAGCTTTGAACATTTGGATAGTGAATATACAATGACATACAGCTGCAGTGAGTGACCTAATGGTTCAGGCTGAGGCAATGGAAATACAAACTCTTTTGCTCGAGAGATGGCAAGATAGCCAGTGACAGCAAATCCATAGCAAGCCAGAGCTGGCTTCATTAAATGTCCTGAGCTAAGGTATGTGACTCATTACTCCGATGCATTACTCACTATGAAAGTTGTATCATCTACCATAGTTTTGTCAGAAAAAAATAATGGAGAATTGTGAAATTAAAAGAAAAGGGAGCAGGAAACTGATAAAATTAATTTTTTGAATTATTTATGTGTACAGGAAACACACAAGCAGTCTTTGCTTTATTTATTTAAGTGTGCTGGAAAACCTTTGTTTTGTTTTCATAAGTGTGTTAACGTAGGCAAACTTATAAACCAATTGTCCGCCAAATCAACAACACTGGATGACATTTGCATAACTTTTTGAAAAACTTTCTCTAGAAAATAGATACTTTCATACCTCAATAAAAGACCGAGGATTAGGAAGGAATAATTTTTTTTAGTATTATTTTTGCAATTTATCCCTTCTCAAACAATTTTTGTAATAAGAGTTAAACTCAAATTTTATAGTTTATCAAAATAATAAAAGCCTACAGAGAATGTTATTCATTAAGATGATATTAATTCTTTGTAAAACAATGCAGCATGTTCTCCATAGCACTTACACAACAGAAATAAGAAATGTTAACAGCACTAATTTATGTAAACAGTGAGAAATGTAGCCCATTGACAGTCACTGACATAATGTTTAGTTTATCTTAAGTAATAAAACAATAAAATTAAGTACTGTACAAATGTTTAATATGATATTATTTCTTGATGACTAAATTTTTGTATTATCTGTACTGTACTCTATTTGTAGTGCACAGTGATGTGTGGATGTTGTCCCAAACATTCTGTATACATGGCAGCAAGCTCCGATGTAAAGGCTCCATTGCTTACATCTGGGACAGAGTTAGTTTCACTCGAGGAAAATATTTTGAAATTATTAAGAAAAACTTATTCATTCCCATTATTTAGGTCTTTTCATTAGGTAAGAATGTGTTTATTTTCTACTACAGGTATAGAAACATTTCTTTAAGTTCCTGGCTTACATACATAACTGTCATCCAGTATTACCACTGAGTTGAGTTGGAGGCAGCTTGGCTGTGATGTATTGTGATACTTTCTTCTAATTTTTCCATGGTGTACCTGAACACTGCTCCATAACCCCATATTTTTTATTGAATTGCAGTACAATACTGTACATGTTATTTCATATCACAATGGTTTGTTTTGTGAACATTCTTGAACTTCTTGATCCCTATCTCACAAAGTAACCCAAACCTACTGTATTTGCTAAAATGGATCTGATTAAGTGATTTTTGGCACAGTTATGACCTTTTGTTATCAAATAAGGAACAGCTGAGGGGCATGTCATCTTTGGACGTCCCCATTTTTTCTTACAGATCATTTATACGGTCATAATTTTAAATCTTTTAATGGTTCAAGAGATGCATGAGTCTAAATGTGGAGGGGAGACAGGCCAAAAGTGACATGGGGAGAGATCAGAAATAGTATTAGAGTTAAGAACCTGAAAAGAGAGCCTACAAAAGACTGTGTACCTTGAGGAGTTGCCATCAGGTAACCACAGTTAACCAATGCATGCATGGAAAATGGCCATAAAACATTGATGATAATGAAAGCCAATTTTATTTGACATTAGATAAAAAGTATAGAGTGATTGGAAGATGAGGTAACCACACCAATGAAGGGAAAAATTTACTTAACTTCAAAATGTATTTTTCTATTGCAGGAAGGATGCAGACAAAGCAAGCCTTGCCGATTTTGCACGTTATGCTCTTAGACAAATATGTTCTCAAGAATGGGTGAGAGAGAGATGTTTAAAAATTCCTGAGGAACTTTGCAGTGCAGAGAATCTTTTAGACAGTGCTCTGACTCCAAGACAGGTAAGGAGAAACAATGTGAAGAAGTAATAAATAAGTTCATTATTGTACTTGATTATTTTTATTTCATGTGTATTGGTAGACCACATATTGTGCAAATCAGTTTGTATAGTGGAAACATGCTTCTTATTTTCTAAGTTATACTTAAACTTAAACTTTTGCAATAAAGGGCTTAATTCCTAGTTAGTGTGTTTAAACTTCCTTAGGTTCATATACTCTTCTGTTTCAGGCCCAGCGACTCTTGCATCAGATATGCCATCCAGACTCTCCCAGCACACATAATGATGCTTCACAAGATCAACAAACTATCATTTCCCATATACTCCAAGTTAGAACCAGTTTTACATATTAGTCTTTATGTATTTTATAGGATATGTATGTCATTAAAATCATACCTGCTTTAGAAATACTTGCTCTTCTGTATTCTATACTGTATGCTGTACTGTACTCTACTTTATTCTACTTCACATATATATTTTGTAGGACTTGGATGAGTGGAGTCTTCGTATCTCGTGGTTAGATCTTCATCTTATGTATGAACAACAAAGAATCTCGTCACCAGAGCTCAATTCATGGCTTGACAATGTAGCTCAGGCAGCTATAGAAGTGTTTCATCTCAACCATGACCCAGAATGCTCACCCTTGTCTCAATCACTATCTGGTCACAGGTACAGTATTTTTATTTTTATTTTTATGTTGATGTTACAATGTTGGCATCTTAGTTGTCTGGTTAGAAAAAAAGATCCATCACAGTATCAGATCTTCAGCTGTCTTTGGACCAGTATTATAAATGTCCATATAGAATATACTGTAGTTTGGTTACACAAGACTTTAATAAACACTAAATATAGTTACTAATACATAAAAAAATAGAGTACAAAAAGTAGTTCTATACAGTTTTACATAAGCAGCTCCGTCCCTGGCTGGCTGGTCAGGTGTTTTTACTATGTAAACAAAGAACTGGGAATTTGATACAACACAATAACTCATCTGGGAATGAGTGTTGGGTATTTTTTTGTTTTTTCTTGAAAATTTATTATTTTATGATAATGTTTTATAAACCCAACACCAAGTGAACCTAAATAATATGAGAATTGTTGTGAAATTACATACAGACATCCCCCGTGTTACGGAAGGGTTGCATAACACAAAACCTATTTTCCCATTCACTTCCATTATAAAACTGGAGATGCGTTCCTAAGGAATTTTTTTCGGCCCCCAAAAAAGTAATTCAAGCATTTTTTTGAATGAAAATAAACATTTATAAACACATACAATACAGTACATTAAATAATATATGATATACCTTCTTAAAACATCAAGTTTAATATACAATGTAATGCCTTTGCGGCTTCTTTTTGCACTACTGCGGTCACTTCCGCTTGATGGCCTCTTTCCAGTCATCTTGAATAAGGGTAATGCACTGTACTGTAATTACTGTATGTTTGTAAAAGTTAAATCCAACTGCTGGGGCGAGAAACATGCGCGCACACTGGATGTAAACAATGGACTGACTCCGCGTGGCGTTGGCGGTAGCAACCACCAAGAAATCCACACCAAACAAATTATAATTTTTAACACAAAATTTTAATTATAAATAGTGATTTTTTTTTAAATCGTTAAAATTTACCCCAATTTCCGTAAGGGCGGATTTATGGACTGTATCGCGAAATTATTGGTCATAATTTACAAATTCCGTAAGAGCGAAATTCCGCAACCCGGGGTTCCGTAACACGGGTGATGCCTGTACTGTTGTTGTAAAGGGGTCGCAGGGCCAAACGAGGGAAATTTCCTGGTTAGTCCATCCAACAACCCGCCTTACCTCCCATTTCTCCCACACTGAATTAGCTTGCCATTGTTCCTTTTTCTTATTTTATTTTATTATATTTTCTTTATTTCTAAGTCACATTACAGTTGAGCATTGTTTTACAGTACAGTTGGCCCTTAACATACGCAGGGGTTAGGTAACAGAGATACCCACGAATGTTAAGAATCTGCATATTTTTGCTGCCCCCCAAAACCCTGGCCCCCCATGTCCTTATTTTCCGTATATACCTGTGTGTAGTTCGAGTTTTTAAGACCAAATTATTTGGCAAAAAATTGGGGGTCGACCTCTAAACGGGTAATAGTTTCGTTAGGTTGAAAAATATTTACCAGTAACTACCAGTAAACAATGGAAACGACGCACCAACGCACCACCAGCTGTGAGTGTCGGTACAATTGCCAGGGCAGATCTCTTGCGTCATCATAGCAAGCCCAAAGTAGCCAAATGCATGGTATGGTAGCACAGGACGATGTAAAACATAAAGTATTCATTTTTTAAAGTTTATTTATAGATACATAAATTTTTGTTCATTACATTTGAAACATCAATCTTAGTTAATTAAATTTGAAACAAAAGAAAACTACGATACCATATTTCTAAATACCGGGTATTTTCATTAAAATATTACATCACAAGTATATTTTACCTTAACTGTGACTGAGTGAATATATTCTCAGAAATAAATATGGAATGTAATATTTTTGCTGAAATGACGTACGTATTACAGTGGAAAGTGGGATAAAATCATGACGAAAACAATGACTTTCGCTTTCTTTCATTGTTCAAAAGATTTTACCGTAGTCGCTTTTCGAATGGTTTTCAGTTAAAAACTGTTGTATTACAATATATTCTATCCTAATTCACTTGAATAAATACTACGATACCATATTTCTGAATATTTTCATTAAAATCTATCAAAATCGTTTTCCTTGTCATCAGCACCAAACAGCTACTCCGAGTCCTCTCCTTGAACAGCATCGTCATATGGATCAACACCATCATCAGCCATAGGATCATCAATATCTTCATCCTCAATCACGCTCTCATTAGCCTCATAATCCCACAACAAGTCGTCTTCTGTTCCATCAAGAGCATTCGAAATCCCACATTTCTTAAAAGATTTCACCACAATTTCTGGTCTGATTGCGACCATGTCACCAGGGCTCTGCCGTATCAGCTAGACGGTACACGTGTGTTTCGAATCGTTTTCAGTTGAAAAACTGTTGCATCACAAGTGAATTAGGATAATATTATTGTAATACAGTTTTTAAACTGAAAACCATTCAAAAAGCAATTATGGTAACATCTTTTGAACGAAAGAAAGCGAAAGTCATTGCTTTCATCACGATTTTATCCCACTTTCCACTGTAATACGTACGTCATTTCAGCAAAAATATTACATTTCCATATTCTCAGAAATAAATAGTAGTTTTGCTGAACACTTTATTTAATATTTAAATGCAAAAATAGCTATGAAAACAATTAATAATGTACTGGCTGGCATCTCCACTCGTCCCTGCTCCCGCCTCCAGAGCGTCACCACTCGTCACTACAATGCTGATGTCAACACAAGCGTGGTTACAGCGAGACTGACTGACTGAGGGAATGCAGGGTGGCGTGGCGGGCGATGTGTGTGTGTGTGTGTGTGTGGTGTGGCGAGTGGTGTGCATTGTGTGGTGTCGCGCGCAATTTGAATGTATATTCCTCCGGTTGCAATCAGCGTATTTGCAAATCCGTGTATATTAAACCCGCGTATGTTAAGGGCCGACTGTACAGTACAGTGTTGTAGAGGGTTTGGTATTCAGTATAGAGAGGTACTACTGGAATCTGAGGAGCAGTTCAGTACAGTATTTTCTCGATTTAACGAACTAATTCGAGCCACCCCTATTCGTTAAATCAAAATTTCCTCTAAATCGAGCTTTCCGCCGATCAGTCTGTGTCCTGCTGCCACCGCGTGTGTTGTTCACTGTTACCTCTCGGTCAACTAACTACACTGTAGCACCTTAGCTTTCATCTTTATTCAAGACATCATCAGAGGCAACTGAGTTTACAGGGACGGAATGTTAGGTCACTCTTTCTTGGGTGCAGGATTAGTGGGTTTCATGACCTAAAGATGTCTTGAATAAATACAAAAACTAACGCATTTTAAGAGTGATTGTGATAAGTATAAATGATCAAAGTTGTATCCCTTCAACATTACATTACACAATATTTTAAAATATGGAGTGAGAAAGCAGAAAGGTTTGGGTGATTAGAGAGATGGAGTGGAAATGAGTGTTGCCAAGCGCTCCTCAACAGCTGATACAGTAAAACCTCGATTAACCGACCACATATGGGGGGACAATCGAAAAGGGCGGTTAATAGTACATAAAGTCTACAGAAATAAAACATGCATTTTCAAAGTACCTTTCCCTAACCTACCTCATTTAAGTCCCTCTATTCATTTTTGTTCATTTGCCATTCATATTTCAATAGAATTTGCTTTAAAACATTAACCACTTTAGTAAATAAATATGAACCAGCACAGAAACCGTGAATAAAAAATGGAAAAGTCAAAGAACATATGTCATCACAAAAATTGTGACCAAGTCCCAGGTTGCTGGTCTGATTTTCTGCCTCATTTACACACAATTGCAGGGTCTCAATTGTTTCTCTTACTATTGACAACACAACATACATACAGGTACATTCTCACTCTTGATTTTTTTTTCATTTTTGCATTTCTTTATGGTTCTTTATTACTATTATTATAATTATCATTATCAGTATTAATATTATTACATTATCGCCCCCCAGGCTCCGATGTGGGTCAGTGACCTGTGCCTGGGTGGGCTAATCCCCGTAAAAAAAAAAAAACTTGTGGGGTTCGGGATTGACGGTTCATCCGAAAATCGGTTAATCGAGGTTTTACTGTATTTAACTCGCTGCCATGCAGTCACACACACACGCAGATGTGTCATACAATAAGACCCTCACTCCTCATGCTTGTTATCTTAATTCCCTTGTTGGGGGTGTGTGAGTGTGTTGGAGGTGTGTTGTTGGGGGGGATGTGATGTTGGGGTGTGTTAGAGAGAGAGAGAATGGGGTGTGTGGGTGGTGAGGGTGTGGGAGATGTGAGGTGAGGGTGGTGTTGGAGGGTGTGTGTGGGTGATGTAGAGGTGTGTGGGTGGATGTTGTAGCGTTTGTGTTGGAGTGTGTGTGTTGGAGTGTCGGGGTGTTGGTGGTGGGGTATGCAGTGCCTGATTTAGACCTGTGGAGGCCCATGGGCAGCCTCTTTGTGGAGGCCCCCCTCATTATAACTACCCAAGAGGGTGGGGTGGCGAGTGAAGCGAACCTAAATTTGAACACTTCTTTGGAGAATTTTGAAGCCATATGCAGTTATATTGAGGAAATTAGAACATTGAGAAATTTTTAATTAACTGTATATTTATTGATTGTGTACAAATTCCCAACACACACACACACACACACAAGTGAGACATGACTGGAGTCATTCATGTGGTTTCAAGTCAACCAGCCCTGATATAGCTACTACCGCACATGTCAAAAATTTTCAAGAGACTTCACAGAAAAGAATACTGTATATTATTAGTTATTACAGAGAGATGATTCTTTGCATTATTAATCAGATAAACCTCTACTCAAATACTGGTTCTGTCCAAGTAGCTAGCCTAATTTCTATCACGCTTCTTGCTGAACATAGTTTTACGTGATGGAATAGATAAACATGAATTTTAAAGAATGGAAATAAAAATAATCCAAATGAATGAACAAATAAATTAAATATTGTAATATGTGGAGGCCCCAGATTGTGGAGGCCCCTGGGCAGCTGCCCACTTTGCCCACTCCTGAATCCGGCCCTGGGGGTATATGTGTTGGAATGTGTGTGTGTGTGTGTGTATTAATAATATTAATAATAATTTACAGTTTACTGAAAAAGTTCTGCAGCCCGAAGGCTGAAAATATACATTGCACAAAAATGACTTATTACATACAAAGACATGGGGTGGGTGGGTCGTTTAACAAAAGCTTTCATTAATGAAAGAAGGAACATGAACTGAACATACAAATTATTATAGTTTGGAGTTGATGGCCCGGGCTGGTCTCTTGCCATACTTTGTGAGGTCACGTAGGCCTTGTGGTTCAGTAACTCATCCGTAAGTGTTGATATGAAGGACCTCACGTGGTCATGGAGACACCGAGTGGTGTGGTGTTCACATGGTGCAGCAACTTTTCCATTGATGTTGATATGAAGGACCTCACGTGGTGAAGCTGCTTTGGTCAGTTGAAGTTCAGATAGTAGTAAGAGGTCGGGGGAAGAGGTTAATAGATGGTGCTCCACAGAAAGAAAATTGGATCTCGGGCAGCGAATGTTAGAAAAATTAAGTGTGAAAAAAGCCGATCCTCAAGCAACTTCGGTGGCATCAGTTGAGGCCCCAGTAGTTTGATGATAATCAGGTCGGCCCTGGGGTCCACAACCTTCCCGACCAGTGGGACCCATCCGAGAAGGCCCCGCTTTAATATTAATATCAATTGACATAGGAGAATAAAATAGAGTGAATAGAGCAGATCAAGAGTGAGAATGTTTATACTTGTTGTGTTGTCAATAGTAAGAGAGACAATTGAGACCCTGCAATTGTGTACGCTTCCAATATCTTCCCAGGCGGTAGTACCTCTCTGTTTGATAGCTGCCTACTACCCCAGTAGTCAGGATAATATGTACTGTATTTTTGGTGTTATTTATATCATTATTTATCGTTTTATGTACAGTATTTAGTACATTCGCCGGAAGATTCGGACAGGTTGTCCCCTCTTTTAGTCCGGATCTTCAAGGGTTCACTGTATTACAATGCATATTTAAACATGTATTAAAGGTAAATCATTTGATAAATATTTTTATGATGACCAAAAATGCATTTGCAAATGTTGCTGTTTGTGGTGTTTCTGGGATCTGTCATATCTCCCTTTTGAATAGCAAAGTACTGAATACCTGTTTACAGTGTAACATACATAAATTGTATTGATGTACATATAATTATATGAGGTGGCTTGAGATGTGTTTATTATAACTTAGCATCATATTTTTTCAAAATTGCTAAGCTTTTTTTTTTTTTGTACATTCAGATAGTTTGATATTTTGTGCTAATTTGATAATATTGATATGTATGACTTTGGTAACAAGATATATTACATTTAATACTTATAGATTCTGATGAATGTAAGTCATTGAAAATTTAGTAATTCATACTACAATAAATGTATTAAGTTTTAAGGCATGATGATGGGGCATTTGAGTGGATACAGCACTTGCCTCCTGTTACAGGGGCCATTGGTTTGATTCCTGGGTGCTCCCAGTTCACCCAACTCTAAATAGATACAGGAACTAAATTACAATTTTGGGAAAATGAATGCTAGTTGGATGCAGTACTAGCAATGCTGCCTCTTTGTGTGCCATTGCGTTCGTATACAGAGTGCTGTATCCACACTGTCTCTATCTGGCAGTCATGCCAATGGGACCCGGTTTAACTTCTTTTTCTTCTTTTTTTCAGAACTCGTAAACCTCAGTCCATCTGCCTAGTAGCGCCACTTATTTCCAAACTTCCTAAGGCGGTGCAAGGAAGAGTCTTAAAAGTAGCTGGTGAGTCTAGTCAGAATTTCCCTTTAGAAAATCCATATCTTCTTGAGTAGAATGTCTAAACATTTATCTCTCGGTTAGCCAGAATATTTGATGCAGAGTGTATTGAATTCCAGTTTATAGAGTTTCTACTGTAAAGCTTTTTTTTCTGTTAAGTATACAGGTACAATATGGTGTAAGGGTCTCTTTTTTATTACTACTTCTTATTTATTCTTCTCTTTATTCTTTGATACTTATATACAGTTAACCCTCACTTTACGCGGTTAATGTAACCCGGAGGGTCCCGCGTAAAGTGAGAAACGCGTAAAGTGAATAACATAACATATGGGATTAATTGAAATGGAGTCCGGGCCGATCCCCAAACTCCACTTTTTGACGACACACAACTATGTTGTAGTAAAAATATTATCTTAACTTTATGATGGTATGCACACACAATTAATAATTAAGAGAAATATCAATAATATTAGGTTTTTTAACACTTACATTAGTAGAAAAAATGGCTGGGCACACGGGGATGGGCGGTTGGTTCCGAGGCAGAGGGCAGATTATTGGCCCTCACCTGTGTCACTTGTATCAATTGTATCACTATCCACCACAGAGGCTTGCAGGGCCTCTTTGTCAAACTCCCCAAAGTCCATATAAGTCCATATCCTCACCATAATTATCACTATCACTGACTTGGGCCAGCTGTGGTGGGTGGCGGGTGAAGAACTGGTAATGTTTTGATGACTGGGCGACCTTGTGCGCACCATGTTCGCGCAGCTTACACAACATGGCGGATGGCGGGAGGTTTGGATCCAAAAATGGCGCGACTCGCCAGCCGCTCTCCGCGTAAAGGGGTACACGCACCGCGGAATGTGAGCATCCTGGGTTCCGGCAGGGCACCGCGTAAACGTGGAAACGCGGAATGTGGGACCGCGTAAAGTGAGGGTTAACTGTACTTGCTTCATATCTATATTCTCTATTAATCTTTTCTTGTGCTTGTTTTTATATACAGTATTAATAATTTCATATTTTATGTCTTTCTCTCTATAAGTATCTATCTTATAGTTCTTTGCTTATATTTTCTAAGTCAATATTCTTTTCTATTCTTAATTTCTTGTCATATATATTATTATACTTACCACGGTAGCCTGCCACCACAACAACTTTTATTAGAATATGACACATCTCATTGGACTGTTAGGTAGCGTGCTAGTGAGCTTCTAGGCATGTGAGTTACAATAGTTATTTTCTGAGAACCAACGGTTAGAAGGAATAAAGCGGTAATACTCGGTTTACTAATTCACTATTTATTAACATAAGGAGTGAACAAGATGTTAAATAAGTACACTCAGACAAGACTGGACCACTTAAGTCTTACTTTACAATTCATAAAATAGATCTTCAATTACTTATTTCATCATTAAACAACTGTTATATTATTTCTTTGACAAGTAGCAAAATAGATCTTCAATTCTTGGTTACAACGTTAAACAATCATTAAATTATTTCATTGTCAATACAGATGGTTATATGACACACTTGACAATATCCCACATTAACATACAGTATTATTTATAACATCATGCTATTTTGGAATGAACAACATGGCTCTTTTCCCTCAGTTAGTAGTACATATAAATAATGTACTCAACCCTCATAACATATTTACTGGTACTATCAATATTTATGGGTTCACTACTCAACATGGGATAACTATATTTCTGCTAATTATCCCCAATCATATACAACAATAATACTTTGGCCCATATAACTGTAAGGAGTGCCCCAGGGTGTAACACTGGTGCACCACAACAAACGAAGAGCGCTGTTAGGGTCGGCTACAGTCCGACACACTGCGAGGGAGTTCAGGCCTAGTTCCCAGGGTGCGGTCTCGCACAATTTAATCGTGCCGAATTAACGACATCTTGCAATGTAGCCAGCTGGTGTGCAGCTACCGGTCCTCCGGTGACTGTTGGGTATTCAGCTAACACACACACTGTGCCTGAGATATGATGGAACAGCGTCAGAGATGTGACAAGAATAACTCAATAACAAACAATTTTTCGTCTGGCAACGACAGACGATATTTACGTTACATTAATTCTTTCACTGGGTAAATGATAATTTCACTGCTACAACATGAACACTGATATTCACAAAATTCACTAAGTTAAACTGACTTAATATGGCGGACGGAGAACGTACACATAGCTGAGATATGATGGGACAGCGTCAGAGATGTGACGCTGCTCCTCAGACACGAGTTTATATACGGCTAACTGGCAACTCAGGGCTGTGCGCTTCTCATGCCAGAAAGGCTAATCACGCAATGACAGAAATTACATTCAACTCAGTTGCTGTACATTTAACTATGAAAATCAATGCCATGGGTCAGGTGAATTTCTTACGTCTATTTTTATAATCTAATCAGAGATTGAACTTGCCAGGAAGAAGTGAAATGGACGTCATATACACACGCTGTTAACGTCATTCTCAAAACATAAGCGGTATTTCTAGACAAGGACCCTCTATAGGTATACGTTGAGATTTTGGAGATAAGGAGTTTGACATGTTCTTTCAGGAGATTAATGGCATTCTTGAATAGACAACTGACACTAACTAAACTACAAACATCAGATTCTCTGATGTTTGGGCATCAAAATGATCTAATTTCAGTAGTACTTAGAAACTCCTGGCTATCCCCAAGGACGATATCACGGGATGCCATTCGTACTGGCAGACTTGACACTCTCTTACTTGACAAGTGTTACTAACAATAAAGACAGTTGAAGCTTTCAACATCACTCACAAAGGATCTTGAATGCTTTAGCTGTAATCAAACATCTTTAAGTTGACTCAAAGCAATGGTGTTCTCTCTTACATTCAGATTTACTTTATAGAGAGGTTGATTTCAGGAAGTCAGAGAAAATGGACAGCACCTAAGCTAGGGAGCGATGAGAAAATGGATGCCTCAGATGGGAGACTCAATAAAGAAGGCATAGCTACATGTTTTGTGGGTTATTGAGCGTAATATGAATCGTCTGATTTTACGTTAACTCACGTGTATGACCGTGGTCATTACAATGGGATAATTGTACTTGTATAAAACTACTATACTGTATATTCATTTTCTTACCCAAAGACTAAGTCAAGCTAATGTTAAAAAAATTGTGTTAAGGATAACAGATAACTTAGATTTTACTTAAACATTTCTTATAACATACAGTGAACCCTCACTTTACGCGGTTAATTCAACCCACGGCGGCCTGCATAAAGTGAGAAATGCGTAAAGTGAACAACATAACATATGGGATTAATTGAAATAGAGTCCGGGCCGACCCCCAAACTCCACTTTTTCAGACACAATACGTACGTTGTAGTAAAAATAACTACTTAATTTTATGATGGTATGCACACACAATTAATAATTAAGAGAAATATCAATAATATTAGGTTTTTTAACACTTACGTTAGTAGAAAAGATGGCTGGGCACACTGGGATGGGGGGGGGTTGGTTCCGAGGCAGAGGGCAGATTATTGGCCCTCACCTGTATCACTTGTATCAATTGTATCACTATCCACCACAGAGGCTTGCAGGGCCTCTTTGTCAAACCCCTCAAAGTCCATATAAGTCCATATCCTCACTTTCATTATCACTATCACTGACTTGGGCTGGCTGTGGTGGGTGGCGGGTGAAGAACTCGGTAATGTTTTGATGACTGGGCGACCTTGTGCGCACCCTGCTCGCGCCGCTCTCCGCGTAAAAGGGTACACACACCGCGGAAAGTGAGCATTCCGGTTTCAGCAGGGTACCGCGTAAACGTGGAAACGCGTAAAGTGGGACCGCGTAAAGCGAGGGTTGACTGTAGATAGAAACTGTACTAATATTCCAGCTGGTGAGCAAGTGAAAACATGTTGAGAGGAATTCGTAAGGAATTCTTTAACCGAATTGAATATTCTTATGGAAGGTAATTAGTTAACCAAAATTTTTGTAACCGAGGGACCACTGTATATATATATATATATATATATATATATATATATATATATATATATATATATATATATATATATATATATATATATATATATATATATATATATATATATATGGGAAAAGGGAAACAACGGAGCACCTTAGCTTTCGTCTTTATTCAAGACATCTTCAGAGGCAACTGGACTACATGGACAGAGAGAGGCTTAAATATACAGGGTGACCTTAAAAACATGAGGTCAGGTCATAATGATGTAATCCACTAATCCCCACACCAACACACACGTAGAGGAGCTTAAGAGAAGGGGGGTGACGTGACTAGTCAGGTCAAAAATAAGGGACCCACTAAATAACTATCATACATCTAGATCAAAGGTATTCAAAGCATTTTTAACCTTGGGCCACTGACAAATAAATTTATGTAACATTATCAGTTTTGAACTGACCATCACTAAGGTTTATTTTGTACCTCTCTCTGTCCATGTAATCCAGTTGCCTCTGAAGATGTCTTGAATAAAGAGCGAAAGCTAAGGTGCCTCCGTTGTTCTTTTCCGTGTGATTCTTATCAAGATCAATTATTATTAAAAAAAAAATATATATATATATATATATATATATATATATATATATATATATATATATATATATATATATATATATATATATATATATATATATATATATATATATATATATATATATATATATATATATATATATATATATATATATATATATATATATATATATATATATATATATATACATACAGTCAATCCTCACTTTACGCGGTCCCACATTCCGCATTTCCACGTTTACGCGGTGCCCTGCCAGAACCCAGGATGCTCACATTCGCGGTGGGTGTACCCTTTACACTGGTGAAGTATAATTTTTTTATTTAGCTCATAAAATTCATACAAATTATCCGGCCAGAATATAATTTACATTGCTGGAATTCTTACAATTTGATGATCATTTTGAATATAAACATCATATATTTTGCATTAGACATAAAATTTTT